AGGTTGAGCCTCACATGCATGTGATGCCAAAATGTTTACTTGAGCTGGTTATTGATGCAAGCACCATGCTGTTAACCCATGAGTAGATATGTATAGTTCCAGGCTGCTGGAAACTCTTCAACAGCCCTTTTTGAGTAGTTCATTCCGTTAAGAAAATATACTACGATATCTCAAAGTGTACCAACTGAAACACGAGGTGACAACACATTCAGCTGAAGACTATGGTAAACGGGAGTTTCAGCTGGAATTCAGTACCCGTGCACTGAATGTAACAGTCTGATTGTTTTTTAACCATCTAGTCATGGCTTATTGTCGTATCTAACTGCTGTCTCCCGCTCTAGAGCATTGGTGTCAGAAAAAGACTGTCCAACAAGAACACAACAGCTTTATTGCTAGCATGCGAGTGCAACGGCTACAAGAAGCCTCGCGCCATTTTGAAGGGAACATTTCATCGATCCAGGCTGTTGCTGAATTGACTGGCCTCGATGCTTGCAGGCCTCCCTATCGAGATTTTTGTAGAGTTTGAGGGTCTCACTAGGCTTCGGGTATTCCGAGATTATTCTCAAAAATCTGACCTTCGTGATAATTAACCACACTGTTTTTTTTCGATTCCAGTGTCTTTCCGTCTCAACAACTATGCGATCTGGACCCCACTCGCCTGTGTTCGGTCCCGTTCGCACAATGGCACCCGTCGTTAACGAAACGAATCTGGTTAGGTCATCACTACAGTCATCTGCTGTCCCGTCCCAACTAATCCCTTTGAGAAGGCATGCTCGTAGGCATAAACTTGGACCATTGCTTATCGAGGGAATTCCGGTTATTTTCTCACCTGTAAACAGCGAGTCTGAGGAGTACGTAAGCACTTATCAGGTGAGTCTGCAAAGCTTTATTCCAGTGTTTGGTCCCTTGTTTTTGAAAGAACTCGAGATAGCTCGGTCGTTAAGGCATGACTGAAAGGCAAGTGGTTCGAATCCAACCCCAGCATCTCGACTGCTCTTGTTTAAGCTTCGTCAACCTGGCAGTATCTCAGCCCTCTTGCTTCCTTCGGGTGGCATGGTAGCCAGGCAGCGAAAGTGTTACAGCTTTATTTTGGCAATGGAGAATTTCATACGGAGTAAAGTAGCCTGGGTGCTCAATTAGCGTTTCGCGCACCTGATTACATGGCGTTCGACGTCAGTCCGTTACAAGTGTCCTATGTTTGTAACACCGTCCTTCCACATTGTGAGATCCCTCTTTCCATACATGGGGGCGAGATGGCCTAGTGGTTTGAGCGCGAATTAACTGGCCGGAAGGTGCCTGGTTCGAACCCCACTTCTGCCTATCGATTTCCCCTGTCTAGGCTTAGCCAACCTGGCAGTATCCCAACCCTCGTGCTTCCTGGTGGCGTGGCAGCTAGGCACCGAAAGCATGCTACATCTGGACGATTTTTTCTTTCCATACCGTCTGAATGAGATTGTTCTGCAACGGAAACGCGTCTTCTGAAGTAAGGTTTCCAAGAGGACTTACCTTTGTTCGTTGCCGGGGCAGTTTCGGCCATATCCCTATCCAAAATATGTTGATGCAACGGTCGGTACATCCTGGCTATGGTCAATGACACATGTGTATAAAGGAACCCGTGTTTGGGAGATTCTTCCAGGCGAGAACGCACTTCTGGAAGTGACACTGTTTTCTTTTGTTAGTGGCTTTCCCGTTACGGTAGCGAAGGGTGACGGACATTCGAGAGTGAAGTCCGGAGTTCTTTGTTGCATACTGATGACCGTAGCGGCCTGGATTGCTACCTTTTATGTGGATTGATCATTCGATGAATATGATCCCTTCTTGACGTTTAAAAACCTATCCCCCAAAACAGCCCCTCTTTCGGGAAGGTTGTAGCTGATGTGGAACCCGACAACAGACTCTAGAGGAGTGGTTAGGCTTATCGGTTGTCGCACTTTGTTTTAGTGTTTGTAACCGACTCACTCTGTGAACTGACTACGTTACAATTGTCCCGGATTACTCTTGAATGTTTAATCTGATAATCATCGTAGGGAATCTGTAGCACTGGGATCCAGGTCCAGTGACCCTTCAGCTTCCACCTTCCTGGTTGGGCTTGGCGTCTACCAACTTGGTGATAAAGCTTCATACGCAATTGATGTGTGACCCCCAGAGTTCATTCTACATTCCCACAAATTTTCGATGCCTATTAGTTGCTAGCTTATTGAAAGGCTTGTCTTCCTTGGTTGGCCCTATGAGAAATAAGTCCATGTTTCTTTCCGGAACTAACGAGTTTCAACTTTACAACCCTTTGTCCTTCATGTCCTTGGTTTCACAGATTGAACTCCTCAATTGTATGGAGTCCAACACGGTGTTCGTGCAGCTCGAATTACCCAAACCACCGTTCCATGTAGTCAAACCAGTACAAACAAGATTTCGTATAATGTAAGTTTTCGTCTTTCCAATTTCAGCTTGATTTCAATCAAAGGTTGCGGTGATAGTGCGTATTGTTCGGGAGATTGACTGTCGTACGCTACCTACTGAACGACTGGGGCAGTTCTGCTACCTAGTGTTTCGGTTTACTCCTGGCATTTGCTTCGTAGGCGATTAGTATTGAGAGCTTACACTTTCGTCTGGTGTGAGTTATGGATTACTATGGGCTCCACGGTTATACGTGAGCTAAGATTATGTCAGGATACCAAATAACTGGACCTCAAGGATACGTTTTTGTATGCCAGGATGCGTTTTTCTCCGGCTGTTCAGAGTCTCTTCAGTCCGAAGAGCACTGTTCTGGCAGATGCGAAGCAGTCATGTCAAATAACCCTCATCAACTCCATTTGATCCCGCTGCTTTTTTGTACTCTTCAGTCTAGAATAGAACTTCAACAGGCTGGTTGCGATGCGTACGAAGCAAGACTGTCCGAATGTCACAAAAGTCCATCTTGTGCCCTCTCCTTCCTGGTTAGTAAGCGAACTTTTGTTTTCAGCTCCCAGCTGACGTAGATTGAACCTACTTCGTTCAGTAGGCATATGTGCACTACTCGATAATTTGGCTGATTTGGCTTCCGTAAGATCGCCATTCATGAAGTAACTACAGTCCCCTCCCAAACAGATTGACCACTTGAAATGTGGGTATTTGGCCTCGCATGGGAGATGGTCTTCATTCATGAGACTGCACACCAGATTATAGCTGATGAGGGTTAACTTCGGGGACTGTACAAAGGATGTATCTCTTGTTAGAGGGGTACTTTATGTCCATATCTTCACTACATAGATGCGCATTATGTTACCACATACTGTTACAACTCACACCAGCTTTTGTGTATGGTTGCTTTCAATCTCACTTCCAGTCCCAAACGATGGGTTCGCGTTCAACTGGCCTACCGTCCCACTGAAGTAGGGAGTGCCAAATCTATTCTGGGCATACAGACAATGACCCTACCAAGCAACGGCCCTGATACAGAGGGGACAAGAATCACTGGCGATGCAACTCCATCCGAACTATACAGGACAGAAATCCCACTAGCTGGTTTTATGCGATAGCCCGAACAGAAACGATATCTGCCTCCCCCCCCCGTGTACAGTACTCATCTTGATGTCGAATTTTACACCCGTTTTTAATAAGCCAGTATGTGTGTTCTTCACCCAGGCCTGCCTTCTCAGTGTACGAGCACAAACCTAGAAGCTGTTTCATTTTGCCTCTTGTGCACGCCCTAGGACGTTGGTGACAAGTAGGGCGGGAATATCTGTCCGTTTTCCTTTTCGCCGTACTAATCGACCTCGCCTGTATAACTGGCAGTTGAACGCCAGTACTTACTGGTGTATTGAATTTGAGGATGCTCAGTGGTTAGAGCTTATTAATCGGGAGTTCCGTGATACAAAACCAATATATGAAGCTCGACTGCTCCTGTGTAGGTTTGGGCCACCTGTCAGTAACAGCCTTCGTGCATCCTTCGGACGTTGTTGGCAGCTCGGCATCGAGAGGGTCTTACATTTGGATGATTATGGATATGTACTGGCGGATTACTGTTGATATTGATAATAAGGATAAAGACGAGCCAATCGATTCGTGCGAAGAAGCACAAACATTTTACAAGGTATTCCATCCACTGTTTGCCTACTCGAGCCTCAAATTGTACCAAGGCGCAGCGGCACAGATCCAACTGATGGTGCCGCGTAAGCGTTCATGTGGTGCTCGATTTCGGGTGGATATTTGTGTCACAACTTGGGCGAGTCAGGACCGCAGGAAGACCTAGGTGTGTGTTGCACAGCAAATAATGATAATCGTTCAGCTGTAACACCCTTTCTACACCTGGATGCCACGCCCACCAAAAGGAAGCGTGAGGGCTGAGATACTGCAAGTTCTCCCAAGCAGCTGAGGTGCTGGGTCTGAACCACGGTCCGTAAGTTCACGCCTTAATCTCTGAGCTATCTCGGTTACATAAAATTGTATAGTGGTGTTGGGGCTTCCAGACAGCTTGGTTTATCCACTTTTGTCTAGAAGAGAGCTAAATGTCAATTGCCTCGAACGGAATTCGCCAATTGAACAAGCGCTATTCAGAATGCTTGAGTCGCGTGTTTCTAATCGGAACTGGAAGTGATCAGGTATACGGCCCGTCTGCGCCCACAAAGTTTGTTAATTTACATATGAAGCGTGGAATGGGAGATTAAGGAACCTGGTTCTGCGCGAACGACGGTGCTGGTGCTCACTGGTTGGCAAAGTTGCTCCCTAACAAAAAAAGCGAAAAAATAAAGCATAATTCGTAAGATTCTTTACATTATATACAAGGTGATCACATACATGAGACCACTAGTTTTGATCCAGGTTGAATATGCGTCCTTTCGCCCGTGCTTTGCGCAACTTCTTCGACAATCGTTTCTCCTTTCGAGCCTGAATGTTGGCTTGCCTTTTCGCTTGTCGCTCTTGTTTCATTTGAGCCACTTGCTGATGCCGCTGTTGCCACTTTTCGAAACGTTTCCGTTTCATCTTGCGTACTTTATTGGAAGCCTTTTTTAGCAACGTCATGTCGTCTTTCACCTTCACTCCTGAAGAATGAGCATCACAAACTGAGTGAAACACTAACCTTGTGCGCGCAGCATTGCGATCTTCCATTTCTTTCGGATTTCCTGCTCAGCAGTGGGAGCAGCATTTTCACTGACCTTCTGGAGCCTTTCTGCTTTCTGTAGCAACTTGGTTGGGTCTCGTCCGAGGAATATGCCTTGTCTTTCAAGTTTTTCTAGTCTCTTCTTAGCTTTTCTATCCAACTTTCGCTTTAATCCAGGTGTGACAATCTGAGCTTCGTCAAATAGTTGAATCCTGGAAAAGTAATACTGGAAATAACGAGCTCAACACCACAAGAGACGATTACCTCCATTGGTATGTACCTTCGGACGGGAACGACAGCTCCGTGGTCAAACAGATGTAATACCGCCGTGAATATGTAAGTTTCTGAAAGAGAGGAAGAGCATTTTAGCGGCAATATACCATTTAGATCAACAGAGTGGATACGAAAAGTGATGTGGATTTGACTGAGCTTGGTGAATCTCAAAGCCAGTGTTCATCGTTCCTTTGGACTATTCTCTACGACACATTCCATGCTTAATTTTGTTCCAATGTGGCATGAAATGAGATAAAGGTCCGTCCGCTTTCCGAAGATAGAAAAACTCCCACCTAATATACCACAACGCCACTTTCCGTTAAACGGTACAAATTATTCGCCTGGTCAGCGTCGTTTTACAAGAAAACGGTGTATTTTGGTCGGTTTTTACTTGCCTGAACATATTCGGGTCGAAATAAACAGAAAAGGGTCTCAAAGGAGAAAGGGATAATCAAGAAAGTAAGAAGGAAAGTGGGGTCTTACTCCGGTAAGCTGATCACGGTAAAATAAGCTGATCACCCAGTTAATCACCATCACTCACAGTAATATCAATGCTTCACTGTCCACAAATCCAGTAAACCAGTTCTCCCTGAAGTCCTATTATGTAGCCGGATTGCGTGGTAAAAGCAGGTAGAACGCTCCTACAATGTTAAGGACTCTAAAGTGAAGCCTCAGTGTGCCCGAGGGTGTGTATGAAAGGAAGTCTGGCCTGGCCACGGCAGGTTTCCCTCGAAACGTTTCCAAGTGATCCACTACTTGGGTACCCTTGATAGCCTTGGCTCAACCAACTGGTGACATTCGGGAAAGCATAATCATGTCTCCAGTTCGGCGTTATTCAAACAGGCTTGCCACTTCGTTACTCTGACGCATCAAAAACATCAAATCCAGATACCCTGTGGGTGTTCATGTTCGGAGGTTCCATAGATGTGCGCCCAAATATTCACCAGCAACTAGTGTATTTGTCATCATCCTAGTGTACATGGTTAAAAATTAAATGCAATATAAATTGAGGTACTGATTTATCGGGTAATGAAGGGACTTCTGACTAGCTGATCTCCAGACGGCATGATATTTGCACTAGGTTCATCGACAAGTCTGTTGTACAGGTACAGTGATTTCGAAAAACAAAGTTCTAATAAGTGTTGAGTGTCTTCTCTTGAGAACTTCGTGAACCCTTCAACACAAGCTTTGGACATAGCGTCGTTAAAAAATTAGATGGGTTCCGTCCATGCCACAAACAGCACCAGATAAGCGGTTCAGCTAAATGAATGGGC